GCTAATCAAGTCACCAAGTGGCAAGTGCCATGGAGATGGATGAATCCTTAACACTTTTGTTCTCAGAGATGTAAGAAAATACTTCCCCTTTTCAGAATTCAGCCTCTCAGGCTTCCTCTGTGACTAGTAAATTAAACCTCCCCAACTGGCATGGACTGTCTGACATCAGTAGGTCTTTCAGTAGGAAGAAGATGCTGGCTCAAACTTCTGCTATGGAAATGAACCCTCATCCTGCTTATTTTAAGGTGCTGCAGCTTTTTATCTGGGCACCCCCAGCTTCACACACTTCAGGTTCTGAGCCCACCAAGTCTGGCTTTGTGTACAAAATGAGTAGAAAGTAATTGTAGTGACCACGTGATGCTTTTCTGACTGCAGTGTTCCTCAACTTACAGTGCTGGGGTATACCTTGCAAGTTTCCTTTGCAGTGTGTCTGATTCAGAAAGTTTGTTTTCTAGTCCTACAGAAACTTACGCTGTTTTTATCTCAGATTAGTATTTTTAAGCCTAATAACTACTCCTGATTTAACCACAGTTGCCTTTTATGTATAGCTATCCAGCTTAGATTCCACTGAAAATTTACTTCTAGTGACCTGAGGTATACACAGAAAATGTTAGCCCCATTGAAGTCCTTGGAAGGGAGAACCTTGGGTCTCTTCATGCTCAGATTTAGGACTGCTGCTGACAGAATGATTTGCTTACAGGAGAATGTTCACTTTTATTGTTTACTAAAATAGCAACACTACAAAGCTGGCAGAAAAAAATACTCCACGTTTTTAAAAGTTCTATTGTGTTCGTGTCAAAGAGGCAGTTTTATGTAGCCTGGCCCCTGTTTTCATGTGGGATCAAAATTCATTTTAACTTACTGTTTAATGAACAGAAAGTGGTGGCCTTAAGGGGGTTCCAGCTGTGTAACTGGGAGTGAAATCCAGCAGCTTTCTCTATGGAGACTTGCATAAAAGGAGTAGCTAAGAGGTTAAAAAGCAGTGCTGTGCTTCGGTACAGTTGAATTATACTTCATTTACCCATTTTACTTTCCAATAGCTTTTATACTGTCAGTATGAAAATAAGAATTGTTTAGCTAAAAATTAACCACACAGTTGTTTTCAAGCAGAAAGAAGATCATCCTGTTCTTTTGGACTAGCTGATCTGCCTAAAAGGTTGAAGTCAAAGCTCTCTTCAAAGCATTTGAAAATGTTTGTATTCAGACAGCCCTTTACATTGTCTGAAATTGCTGGGACTTTTCATGTTTTCTGAAACATCTATACTGCTGCACTGTCAGACCTATTAATAGCTTTGTGTTTTTCTTTTAAAGCAAATTGATGGAGAAGCATTTCTGCTAATGACCCAATCAGACATAGTGAAAATAATGAGCATTAAACTGGGACCAGCCCTAAAAATCTTTAATTCCATTCTGATGTTCAAAGCTGCAGAGAAAAACTCACACAATGAACTTTGAAGATAATGGAAAATGTGCACGAGCCAGCTTTCTCCACTGGAGCTCATGTTTTATTCAAAGCACAAAGACTCACTAGAACTGTTGACTAAGGACTCTCAGAAAGGAAGAAACATAAGTTCAGCACTTGTGGACTATTTATATTCTCCTAGAGCCAGTACATATCTGAATCCTTCTGGGAAGTGTTCAAGCTTTTGAGAAGGTACTGTGTAACAACTGAGTCATCTGGTCTTATTTACCAAACTAATGGCGCTAAGTCTCCATGGATGGTTAGGATCCCTAACTTTCTCTGGACATCAAGAAAATTCAAGAAAAATTATTTATGCTGTATTATATAAGGGAACGTTAATATTTTCTAAGGATTCTTGAATACTACTTCATGTACCCATTTTACTTTTCAGAAGCTTTTACTTCATTCTGTCAAAAGAAAAACTGATTAGCCAAAAATTAGGCTACGGGTAACCAGATGAGACTGTTATGGCTAATATGTATTTGTGCCATAGTTTAAAAATGAAACACTTAATGTTACATATGTGACACTTTATGCTACAGCGTATAACTTTACAGATTATAAAACTGTCTTTTTGCTTGTAACAAAACAAACCTTGTTGGGGTTGAAATTACAAAGCTTTTTTAATAACTGAATGTTTTTACTTTTGCACGATTACAAAAATGTTATGTGAGTTTTGCCACCAGCATCTTTAATGTATTTTATCAAAAGACCAGTGTAGAGAAGGCTGCAACTGAAAAATAAAGTTTGACTTCACAGAAGACTTTTTGTTTATGCTGCGCAGCAGAGTCCCAGCCTTTTACATGGGAGCCTGCTACAGACCTTCAGCACATGAATGAAAAGTGGTGGATTTTGAGACAAGGAGATTAGCAAAACTGAAATTACATTTAATCATGTCTGCGCTTCTCAGTCTCCAGTATAGTTACCACAACAGCGGAGAAAAACCGTGCTACTCTGACTTCATATTCAACATAGGTTTGTTTTCCCAGTGGTGGGAGAATTATTTCACTCACCACTTCCTAGCTGAAAAGTCTGATTTGTAAATGAATAAGACATAAGGGGAAAGACAAAGCTCAAGGAAAAGGATGCTTAAATGCCTTTAGTGCACGGGCACATCCTAGGTGTAAAATGCATGCATTTCAATGGGTCATCAGCAGGCTGCAGATGTCACCAGCAGGTACTTGGGTGAGGCAACCTCCTTTCTTGGAGGATTATTATAACGATTTGTCAGGGAAAGTCGTTGCACTTGGTATATATACATAAGATGTAAACCAGATGCACTTTATATGGGAGAAAGCCTAGCTACCTGTATACCAAGGACTGTTCCAGAATGTTACTTTTGCAAGAAAAGAGGGAAGAGTTGGATCAAGCTTTTTGGCAGCCCTCTTTTTAGCGCTGCAGTGGGCAGCTGCTCAGCCTTTAGAGCTGAGAACAAACAGAGCATTTCCGTTGCACAGAGCTGGGAGAATTTTACATCTTCCCACAGATTTTGCTAGGCTGTTCTTTGGCTGGAGTTCTTAAGTTTTCAAGAACTCTCTATGCCCCTTCCAGATCGTGTAGGTGACTGGTACCTGCCATAATACAAGGTGAAACAGGGTCAGTATGAAGTAAGTTGCATTGCTCTGTTAATTTCCTTCCATAGCATTGCATAAATAATATTTTTACATTTTGTTGAATATTTGTACACTCAAATTGCACTCTTATTGTACTACAATACCAATAAAACCTGAACTGGAGCCGTCTGTTACCTTTGTGTGTGCCCAGGATTCCCAGATGAACCCCAACTGTTCCTGATGGTGCTGTGGAGTAATTCCTCACTATAGCTCAACGTGGCCATGAGTTTTAAAGAGCAGCTTGGCTAGTCCTGTTTGCCCTCTCCTTTGGCACTTACTCCTAAGGCTTACAGGCCCCTTGCCATCACAGTCAGAATGCCATTTATAGACCTGGACTTTGTCACTGGCAGCAGCTGAAGTTGCACAAGCAGATCACTAAAATGTCAAATTCTTCCATTTTCTTTCATTCTGTACTTCCATGTAGTTTATTTTCCTTTACCTTCTATGTCTCTCTTGAGTGCCAGGTCTATAGCCTGCAGTGATAACCAATGAGGAGACTTGCAGCTCAACAGAGATTACTCGGGGATGTTAGCAGCTCCCTGAATTTTTATATACACCTACTTACAAAGTACTGTGGTTTAAGAAATGGGTTTGAATTAACAGTGTTTACAAGATGTAGACTAAAGCTCACTTAAGTGATAGAGAGCCCAATTTTTTATTCATACAGCTATCACATAAAATAGCTAGGACATATATAATCCTTACTATTGTATCCTATGTGATGAGGTAGCTGGGTGTAGCCACTTCTATTACAAGAACTACGCCCAACAAATTCACTTAGAAACTAAAAACATTCAGGAGACCTACTGAATCTTTAAAATGGCAGTTGGTATTGTTTTGTGTGTTGGATTGGAGGTAGCCCAGCCATCACACCGCTCGAGGTTGTGCCCTCATTTCCATGGGAGCTATGTGAAGAGTCCTGAGACTTTAAATGGAGCCATCTCCTCTCATACTGGAGGATCTCCCACTGTATTCTCAACCTTGAAGTCACCCTTGCACAACCAAGTTTTAACAAAGCTTCTGTAGTCTTCCAAGCTGTGTGTTTGAATGTTTAAAGAATTGTGCTTTGCCTACATTGACATTTTTAGAACTGGTTGGAGAATGTAGGCTTATAATAAAAAGCCATTTTTTATTTCTAATGAACGCAATGGGTCCTGTCTGCTGCTACTGTCTATTGCCAGGCACTTGTCCAAAGCTGTGCACTGCCAGGCAGTATCCCCTGGGATTTCCAGACGTGCACAAGTTAAGAGGAGCATGTCAGGGAAAAGAGGAGGCTGTGAAAAAAGAGAGGAGAGGGCCTCTGCTCTGTGTGGGCAGAGAGAGAGTCATCATGTGGAGAAGGCTAATGTGTTCTGGGGAACAAATTCAGAAAGAAAATGAAGCGTTCTTTCTCAGGCACCAAAGCTGTGGTTACAAATGCACATGGCAGCATCCCACATAAGTCATTCTTGCTACTTTCAGAGCTCATCTTAGAAACCCTATTTAGCAAATTCAGGATTAATGTTAAAACAAAAGAAAATAATGTTTCATGCAAGGAGAAAGTAGTGAAAATTCATCATCCTGCAAGTTAAAAGTCAGGCCAACAATTTTAAACCACAAAAATTATTATATTAGGCTCTCAGTGATCATAGTATTATGAAGTGATGGTAATCTTTAATTTGTGCCACTTCAAAACATTAACTATGTTAGCATCTGAAGTACTGATGTGCTCACATAGGCTCACAATATGTTTTTTTTTAATTCTGACAGTCAAAATATTATCTGAATTTGTCAAATGCTCCATATAGAAAAATGATACATGACACATGAAGTAATCTAGAAAATTTTATTATCTCTAGACTTCTCTAAAATCTGCATTTTAAATAAAACTGCTTAAGTGGTTTTTTTTGAAGTAGCCAGTACAATAAAAAAAAAAGGGCATTGTTAACATATTTAAATATACATACACTTCCACTAGAAATAATGGCACTGATTTATCTTCACAACAAAGGGATTCATTTTGACAAAATATCAAATGCTCCCAAGAGGAGTGCTGTGTGCGCCATCAGATACTGGATACTTGGGTGCCTCCAGCCCTGTCTTTACCTGAATGGGCAGGGATTCTGGGTTCCTCACCTCAAAGACCAGGGACTCCAGGAATTTTAGTGTCCTGTGGATCCTCTTTGGGCACGGGATGTCGAATACATGAAATGCAGCTACCAGCGCCGCCAGGGCCATAGTGCAGTCATCGAGCTGGGCCAGCTCTTCCCTTTCCACATACAGTGCAAACTCACACGAATTCACATTGAAGGGATTCTTTACTTCCAACACTGGTGTCACTGCCTTTACCTAAATTAAAAGAAGGGCATTTCAAGTAATGCCACAGCATTGCTAAAATGAACAGTTCAGAGAATTAAGTAAGCCTGATGACACTGCTTTGAATTTAGCTAGTATTTCTGTATTTGCCTTCTACTCAAAAAACAGGCTAATGTCACCTTTTTTCAGGAACTAAGCTGAGCCACCAAAAGGCCAGGTGATGTGCCCAGGGAGCTGATAAAAGGAAAAGAGACCAAGACTGCTGTCTCCTACCTCCTCGTTTACTGCAGCAAACAGACTGGAATCATCTCCAAAGACATCTGGCAGGAGTAAACATGCAGCAGTCATTTTCATATCTGTCAAAAGGCAAGAATTTCTACTAAATTACAAAGGAAAACATTCTGGCACTGCAGTATCATCCTGGAAAAACAGAGTGCAGCCTATGTAATAGTTAACAGCTGAGCAGTGGAGCTGTTGTTCAGTCTGTTTGTACCACAGTGAATATTTGGCTGCCTCAGCTGGTAATGGACATTAGTGTTCAAATCATTCATGGAATTCTGCTACTCAGTATTACAATTCAGTTTGTCTCACAATAAGTAAGTTGACCTTTGGTTTGCTTTTAGTGGAGTTTGTGAGCTGAGTAGTCCTCCTGTCCCCACCACGTGTCCCCAGACACCCCTTTCCCCAGTAATCCGGATATCTCTGGGGAGTCCTGTTGCCAAAGGACTCTCCTTTGAAGGCTGCAGTACAAGCTGGTGCAGCAGAACCTCCCGAGACCTGGTACCCACTACCCCTCTGGTTCAGCTATTATTGACTATAACATCTTTTTTGCAGCTCAAGCTTCTAGTGTTGTGTGTTTCACTGAACTTACTTCATCCAGCATTTATTATCTAGGTGGCATGTCAAGTTGGTTGTGAGAGAAAAAAAGAAAAGTGAAGGTCTTGGGACTTTAATAAGGTATGAGTTAAAATCTCTGTGGACATACTGTGTAAGAAAAGGGGAAATTACTTCCAATATCCATAGTTTTCTAAGGCCAAAGCTATGAGTAAAAAGTCCATGAAGGCTTTCTGGATTAGTCTATACCTTAATACTTTTTAATCTATCATGAGCTATCGAGTACTTATGATTTTAAACTTAACAAAAGAAACTCCCAGTGTTTCAACCAATGCTGCTTGCTTCTTAAGGAAATGACCTGGCAATAAATGTAGTGAAACCGCTATAGGAAATATATGTCATATCGTATGACCTTTGATTTGACATCATGGCATTAGGCCTGTTCGATAGAAAATGAGTCTAAGGAGCACTTCTTAAAAGAGCTAAGCTTGGGCATAGGCAGCAGCTGGGGAAAAATAACCATTCTAAGTAACTGCTTCAAAGGTTTTGTCTTTGTGGCTTCCAGACTTCTCAGACTGAAAGAAGTTGAGTGACAGCAGGTACTTGCTCCCCTGCAGCCAGGGAGCCAAACACTTTGAGGTACATAAACCTCCATGGATGATTCTGGTACCTGCTCACCAGAGGTACCAGTCTGTGCCGTTTTTTCCTGCAATGTGTCTCTGCAGAGATGAGGTACCTGAAATTGTTAGTGAGAACTACTACCTTTAATTTCACCGGGATAAGGGTTTTAACCATAGAAACAGTACCTTGCTTTCTAAAGGAAATTGTGTCTTTTTTTATGGGACTGTTTCTAGAGCAGAAAATTAGTTTTCTGTGGGTATTTTTAGAAAATAATAAGCTCTCTTATGTATCTAGAAATACATACCTGCTCATCTAGCAATAGTTACTTTAAGGGAGTTACTAACTTTATCAAGCCTACAGTCTTTCATTCAACAGAAAAAAAAGTTTCAATACTTGACCGACTTAATTTTTCTACTAATTTACTAATTTTTATTCTTAATGCTTCCCCATCGCTATATATTTTCAAAGAAACTGTAACATTTTTTAAATGTTTTTCAGTAAAATTGAAACTACTTTAGGTACATAAGTGAGAACAATTAGCTACAACAAAACTCTGGTATTCAGAGCATAGGAGATTTGTACTGACATTTCAGAACATCTTCCTCTGTGTGCTGCTTCAGATTTTCTTGTAGCATAATGTTAATTGGATTATTCCTCACGACATACAAAGATAATATATTTTCTGAATAAATCTCCAAAATCCCAACTGTTTTCTTATAAATGTCCATGTGTGTGAGAAGCTGGAACTCCCTAAAAAGCTAAAAGAAAAACAAATATGTGGTATTTCAAAACTCAAACCCAAAACTGTAAACAATGCATGCACTTTGAAGACAGGATAAACTAGCTCATTTAAACAAGATTATAAACTGGAGAGGATGGTTTTCATTTCTTTTCAAAGCAGGGAAGAAATACATCAAGTAACACCAAAATACTTCAAATAACTCACTGGTGGTGTGTGTGGCACATTTAACACAGAGCTGGTGAACCTTTCAAAGAGGGATTAGCTGCAAAAATTTGAGTTAAAGAGAACAATGCCAATGGATACTTCACTGGAAGCATCCAGTAAAATAACATGCCTACAGTTCTATCACATCTATAACACAGAATTCAATGTCATTAATAAAGATAGCTCCATTACCTGATAAGGGCATCTTAAGAAAGGAAATAGCCTAAGAATATCTTTTAAAGGTGCCTTATTGCTGATCATCTTTCTCCGTATTTCTATTGTCACATTCATTTTGTTATCCACTTCTTTCCAGTTCCTCTGAGTTTTCATATATTCTTGCTTAAGCCATTTAATATGTAAATCCATTGTACTGCCTTTAAGATAAGCAGGTTCTTCCTATGAAGAAATAAAGGACAGAATTGTAACAAATCAGCTTTTTTATCTGATGGGGCTTGTGTCATTTGATGTGACCTCTGTGATTTGGGTGTAGTCAAGCTCAGCAGAAAGTATGTGTAGTGTGGTCGCAGTACCAGCTCTGTGAGCTCATCCTCATATTCTTATAGTTAGTAAAGGTCTGTTTTCATTTAAAAGTATATATCAGCCAAGTCTCCCAAGCTCAAATTAGATATTTGAGGCTACCAGTGAAATTCCTTTGCCTGTGTCTGTTATGCCTCATTATGGTTTATTAGAAATGAATAGTCAGTTCTAATGATGACCTTGTGTTTAGCAATATTAATTCTGTATTACCAGGATAGATAGTATTTTTCTCATACTCTTATAGGTCTTAAAAGCAGGACATCTAACTTTTACATGTATACAACTGAATCATTTACCCTCAGGGAGACCAGCTGAACTAAGAAAACTTATTGGAAATCATTATTTGAGCAATTTGACTGTTAGTGTTTTCAAAAAGTGTTTTTGTACTTGGGGATAGTTAACAACCTTCCTCAAAGTTATTATTATTGTCCCTAATGTAATTCCAAAGCCAGTAATTACTAAGAGGAAGAGTGGCTATTGACAGCAGTACACCAGTGGCAGTAGCCTGGGTCTGTTTAGTTTATCTGTCAGAGGATGCAATGAATTTGCTCATTGAAACAAGCCAAGAACATGTAGATACACGGTTAGTACAGTTACCATTCTCAGGCTGCATTGAAAATGGCTTTTCCCATCTGTATTGTCACTGTTGCAGCTGTGACAATACATATGGGTGGCCTGTGGGTCAATACCAGAGGCAGTTGAGACACTTCACGCTGTTCCCCAGAACAATTAAGACACGGAACTGTGAAACATACAACATCTCAAACCGCTTCACAGTTCTCTGCAGGCGCAATTAAACTTTCCAGTTTGATTAATATAGTTTTTAAAATTGTGCATGTGGTATTCCAAGAATGGTTGCACAAGGTATACAGTGAAGAAACTGTCTCCCTCCTAGTATATATCCATAGATTTCAATAGCCATTGGCATCACAGAAGAAAATAAGCCCTGCATGCAGTTCAGATACCTAACGTGGCCCCAGCAGGTCACCCTGGCCCTTGCCAAGATGCTGTATTAGCACAGTCTGCACTCTTTCTAATAGAGCATTTTAGTCTTCATTGTATTACAATAGAATCATAGAATCATAGAATCATCTGGGTTGGAAGGGACCTCCGAGATCATCAAGTCCAACCCTTGATCCACTACCACTGTGGTTGCTAGACCATGGCACTAAGTGCTACATCCAATCTTATCTTAAAAACCTCCAGGGACAGAGAATCCACCACTTCCCTGGGCAGTCCATTCCAATGCCTGATTACCCTTTCTGTAAAGAAATTCTTCCTAATATCTAACCTAAACCTCCCCTGGCACAGCTTAAGACCATGCCCTCTTGTCTTGCTGATAGTTGCCTGGGAGAAGAGACCAACCCTCACCTGGCTACAACCTCCTTTCAGGGAGTTGTAGAGAGTGATGAGATCTCCCCTGAACCTCCTCTTCTCCAGGCTGAACAGCCCCAGCTCCCTCAGCCTCTCCTCATAGGACTTGTTATCAAGTCCCTTCACCAGCCTTGTTGCTCTTCTCTGGACCTGCTCCAGCACCTCAATATCCTTCCTGAACTGAGGGGCCCAGAACTGGACACAGTACTCCAGGTGTGGCCTCACCAGCGCTGAGTACAGGGGAAGAATCACTTCCCTGGACCTGTTTGCCATGCTGTTCCTGATCCAGGCCAGGATGCCATTGGCCTTCTTGGCCACCTGGGCACACTGCTGGCTCATGTTCAGCTTCATGTAAATCCGAACTCCCAGGTCTCTTTCTGCCTGGCTGCTCTCCAGCCACTCTGTGCCCAGCCTGTAGCGCTGCATGGGGTTGTTGTGGCCAAAGTGCAGGACTCGGCACTTGGCCTTGTTGAACCTCATCCCGTTGGAATCAGCTTAACTCTCCAGCTTGTCCAGGTCCCTCTGCAGAGCCCTCCTGCCTTCCAGCTGATTGACACTCCCCCCCCAACTTAGTGTCATCTGCAAATTTGCTGATGGTGGACTCAATCATCTAAATCATCTAACTCATCTAAATCATCAATAAAGATATTAAGTAGAACTGGGCCCAACACTGATCCCTGGGGGACACCACTAGTGACCGGCTGCCAAATAGTAATGTTGGTTTGTGACCAGCTTGAGTAGGCCTTTCTGTCCTCTTCCTCAGTGCACAGAACAGAGGTGGGAAGTCAGACAATTTAGTGTGCTAGGAAGAAGTATAAAGAAGGATGGGTGTGTAGTGGTCCTTCCCCTGAGTTCTGTCAAGACTCCACTGCACCGGGGTTTGTGGACTCCCAAGGGTTATGTCTTTATATTTAATAGCCTTCAGTAGATTTTTCTCTTTCAATTACTTCTCCCCGTCACTTTTCAAACTGTCATAAAATCATACCTGCCACAAAATGCTGCATTAAATTTGGCAGTTTAGCTATGCACTGTCAGAGGAAATGCATTCTTTTGTTTGTTTTCTCCTGCTGCTTCTGCCGTCTAATTATCATACTGGATTCAAAACCTATTCACCCTCTCCTTGCCACTGTAGTTTTATAGATATGTCATATTCTGTCCTCAGCCATTCCTTTTCTGCCCAAGACTGTCCTAAGCTATTTAATTATTCCACGTATGAAAGCTGGTCCATGCTTTCAATTATCCTTGTTAATATCTTTGCATATTTTCTAATTTCACTGTAACCTTTATGAAATGGGCACAGGATAACACAGTGTAACTTAAAGTACTTGTTGAGATACTGGGACACCACAGGGGCATACAGTGGAATAATGCATTACCTTTTCTTTCTGTCTTAAATAATTCTAAGTATTCAACATGCTCTTTTAGACTGATGCTTAGCATTGTGCCAAATATTCTTTGGCCTAGTATAAAAATATCATTTGTGAATGGTACTAATAAGCTGAGAGCCCATCATTATAAATGTTGTTAGGACTGGGTTTTCTCCTTGTGCCTTATTTTTCATTTATCACTGTTGAATTTTATCTGCTGGGTTTTTTTTTCCCCTGGAACTCAGCAGTATGGGGTCCTTCTGGAAGTCTTCAATCTTTGTCTTTAGTATCCTTGGTAGCATCACAAAATGAAGCCTGCCGACTGTTCTCCTTTTTCCATGTCATCTAGAAATATATTGAACTGCTTAAACTAAGCATTAATAATCTTTTCTGCTGTAAAAACCAACTATTTCTGGCTAGCCTTGTTTGGTCTATCTTTTAACTGCTTATCCATGCAAGGACCTTCCCTTTAGATTATATCCTCTAAGAGCCTTTGAAAGGCATGTGGTAAAATCTCTTCTAAAGTATTATATCAGCTGGATTTCCTGTGTCCTCAGGGTTGTTGAGTACTTCAAAGAACTAATGAATTTATGAAGAATTACTTCTGTTTACTGAAACTTTGTTGATTCCTTCCTAATGTGTTCATCTCTTGGGTCTGCATTACAGTTCTTGCCAATTTGACCATTAGAGACAGCAAGTTTCCTGGTTGCTATGTTCCCTAGCTCTCTCCTGAAACTCTAGAAACTGACATGAAATTAGCTACCTCCAATTGTATAGTGTCATGTTTTGTAAGAGAAATTGCACATCACAATAAAAAATGACCTATTTTATCCTTGGACACAGCTGAAAATTGTGCATGAATACTTGTTCCTGGAAATGTGTTACTGCACATTTTAGTGTAATATTCTCTAACCCGTTTACTGACATGCTGGTCTGAAACAGATGCCCTGATGCTACCTATGAGGAATGATCCCACTAATGTGTTCGTCTGAACTCCTGAGAATTCTTGCAAAATCTGTCTAATCTGTCTAGTTCTTCTGGTATGGGTTTGTATTCTGTCAGCCCTCCTGTGCCTATGGAGTGGAGTGCACCTTGAGTGCTCCTGCCTCTTAGCTGCATCAGGCTTCTTGTTTCTCACCTGGTTGAAAAAGCCTTTATAACCAGTGGAGAAAAGGCAGAAAACTACAAGAATTTTGTGTAAATCTCCATCGAATCACTCACAGTCATCAGAGTCTTGTTTTGCTGCAAGCTCTCTGCATCAGCATTTGGTTGTTTCTGGTATGTAACTTATATCGGTTACTGACTGTGAATACCATCCTAGTATTCACACATCCCCAACTGGGCTGTTCAGCTGTTCCTTAACTTGCTAACTTGCCCTAAGTCAGACAGACTGTCTATTGCTTCAGCATGACCACTGCACAGAACTACGGGTTGGTCCATTCTTGTCAGTCTCAAGAGGCTCACTCTTTCTCACACGTGCCCACATGCACACTTGAACAGTTGGGGTTTTTTTAATTACATTTATGGTTTTTACTCTCTGCAAGAGCCAGCTTGAAGTCTCTGACGCCAAACAGCTCTTTTATTACTGGTTTCTCCTGTTGGTCTACTTCCAAGCCTCCTGCCCATAAAGCAGGAGCTTCTTCAGCCAGCTGATGCAGAGCATGGTGGCTCATTCCCAGAGGGCCTATCACCTTCAGTGCCTTACTGGTGGAGACAAGAAAGCAAAGCAAAGTCGACCCAGTGTGCTGTAACCACAGACTGACTGACTAGGTTGCTTAGAAACGAACACTGAGGAGAAAAAGTTGTGACCTTTGCTCTGCCTTATCTCCATCCCCCTTGTCAAGGCAAATGCTGCTTGAGTTGATGGACTTTCTGTGTAGTCATCTCAGTCCTTGAGAGCTAGTTTAGCTAATGACATTAATTAGCTAAAGGAGACCATTTGACATTTCCATAAACATCAATAGCAAGTTCCCAATAGAAATACAACAGTAGCATAAGGAAGAATTGCTGTCATACCTATCTACTAGGGCAAAAAAAAAGGGATGGAAGGCCAGATTTTGTAGTGTAAATCATCTATTACCTCTGAGTAACAAAAGCAGAAGTCAGTGTTAGAATTGG